CCCCACATGTTGCACATGACAGCGCGGTTGTGAGACCGGTATCTCAAGCGGCATCGCATTTGCATGTCCCAGGCAAGTTGCACTGCGGTTACGTGGACCGGCTTATGCAAAAACAAACATTGTTTTAAGACGATGACATCGTTCAGCCGACTCAGCAAGGCGAAGAATCTTTACTGAGAAGATACGCGAAGCTGGCTCATACAAGACAACAGCTGTGGGGCCTAGCTGGAAATTATTCAAATCAAGCGAACAAAGTGAATTACAATCAAGATGAGGATGAGGTCTCTCAAGTTTACCTATTCAGGAGGTACACTGAACTTGGGAGGGGGGGGTGCAAAGTGTGTTAGACATGGATTAATCATCGGGTTAACAGAGGTTGTGAAATAATCTATGTAGATAAAAGGGTCAAATACATTACATGATAGACCATACTGACAACATAGCCACTAGCTAACAGTCCAGAAACATGTTGCTTCAATATTCTGCTGATGTATGACAGTTATGAGGGCCTAAGCTCATCAGTACTCCCCCATCGCCCCAAGCGGTTCCCGTGTGCGTTGAAGTAGATACTCCAATTTCGAAATTAATGCTTTTTTAACTTTCCGGGCATGAATCGGTAAATTGGAGGAAAGCGGTCATAGGCGTAAGCTGAAAGATGATGAAACCTAAGCCTGTCTGATTAGTGATTTGTGCCTCAGGAGATATTTAAAAAAAACAGTATTTTTAAAATTGGAGCAATTACCAGAAAACCAGTGAGGGATGTTTAACACTCCATATAAACCGAGCCCCTCGCAGCTGCGAATATCAGCAAAACAAATGTCTGGCCTTTTAGCTATCACCTGTACTGCCAGAATGCTCTACAATATAACCTATGGATATACCATTGGCTTCCTGTTGACAGTTGGGCGAAGGAAGATACGCAGGGCCGACAGCCAGTAGCTGCGAGCGAAGAAGGTGGAAACACCCAGAAGGCACACGAACGACGCGACACATCTCATGGAGACGCCCACGACGGCGAGAACAATCCAAACAGCTACCAAAAATCGATCGACGCGTGTCCATCAGGCACAGTTATAACACGCGTCTAGCGGTCAGACACACTTGCTCGACGCCAGCAGGAGAATAGACACTACGCTCTGACGATGAAAGTGAGAATGCTTTCGAAACGACAGCTTGAATACAACATGGTCTCAGGAATTACCCTTTCTTCTTCCTCTTTCGGGGATGACGAAAGCAACAGTTTAATTTTTATTACCCGGTGATCCAGCAGTGGCTGATGGACTTAGGTCCAACTATTCATATCAACTCTCGGACTGAGTCTATAAAGCTGAATTCCGATTGATTTCCTCAAAGTCAGCGAGTAATTTCTAAGAAGATTAAACAAGGTACCAATTTCACAATTACAGTAGGTACCGGAAAGCACATGGTGGGGTCACTGAAGAGCCGAAACCCACACAGCTGCGTCATGCATCGGCAAAATGTCGGCGAAAAAAAGAACTAGATCTAATCCAATCCTGCTAAAAGTGGCTTTCAGTTGAAAAAAAAGAAGGTGGAAGTTGTGAAGGCCACACCCTAACCAAAACATTGCACCCATTTGGGTTACACGATCAATCATACTGACAGCGGAAATAGCAGCTAAAAACCCACACACATATTTTGTCTACGTTCTGCCACTACGAGGGGGTTTGCTCATCCGCGAGTTTGCCAGCCTTCTCTGTGTACTGTCTCGTGGAAGATATTCCAGTTTTCAATTTGCTGCTGCTGTGTAATCTGTACATAGACAGATGGGAAACGAGCATTTTACATGACGAGCTCGATACCGGAACGGATTAAATTCTTTAACGGAGGCTCCACCGTATAGACTTCTGGCTGCATGTGTTGGGAGTTGATGAATATTACGCAACTATCCCCACTTTGGCTGATGGAATTCGGTCCAAGTAGTCCTATTAACCTTCGATCCGAGCCTTTAAACATTACTGCCGACTGATTTACTCAAAATTAATGGTTAATTACTGAGAAGGAGGAGTGTAAAAAGGAGAAATTGCAAAAAACAAGAGGATCTACAAGAAAGAACAGTGGGGACGCTGTGTGACCCATTGGTGAGCCGAACCCCGCCCAACTGTGGACAATGCAGCAGCAGAATATCAGTAGAGCACGTGCCTGGGCTTTTATCTCTTACCTAGCCTGTCAGAATGGTCTGCTATGCAACCCATGCACATACTACTGGCTGCCTGTTGACAATTTAAATAGTTGCAAAAATGCCCATCAGAGAATTCTGAAGACTATCTGGCGCGCATACGTAGCTACGTATGTTCGCCAGATATTCTTCTGAATTTAATTAGTATAACGCAGTTAACCCGGTGTGTCTGATGGACTTAGGCTCGATTATTCATATCGAATCTCGGATTGAGCCTATAAAGCTTGATTCTGGTTGATTTTGTTCAAGTTAATGAGTAGTTTCTGAGTACGCTAAATAGCAGCCAACGCGAGACAGTCTAGATTGAGAGAGAGCGAGAGAAAAAGAAATGACAAAAGTGGGGGGGGACAGAGAGGGGAAATGAATAGAGCGTGAAACTTACCCTCCGGAATGTTTTCCAGGAGGTTGTGAGCAGCGTCAAACACCTCGAGATCGTTCAACTTTCCAATGCCCGAGGGAATCCCATCAAAGTTGAGCTGATTATTGTTGATATAGAGCTTGCGCAACTTTGTAAGTCGTGTGAGACCGGAGGGAAGACAGAGGAGTTGGTTATAACTGAGGTTGAGGTACTCAAGGTTAGGCCAATTGTCGGTGAGCATTGAGAGATCAGTGATGGCATTTCGGCTGACGTCCAGTTTACGGAGAGATCGAAGCTACAGAGAAGAAGACAGGCCGAAGTAAGCTGTGAGTATAAAACGACGCAATATTGTCGCAAGTGAAGAAAGAGTATGCAAAAAGCATAAGCAAGTTAGCCGCATTGAAAATTACAGGATAGAAGACTAGTGAGTCCTCAAAAGTCTAAATTAAGGAAAAACGAAGAGCGGCAGGCAATATAGCGTCGCGACCCAAGCAGTCAGTTTCTGGCATGCCGTTAGCACAGATGAATGTGTGTCGGGCCGCTAAAATGGTCTTTGGCTTCTTTGTTAAATGCCCATTGCTTCAACGACATTCAACTTCACAGGCAGAGGCAACTGTTTGCGACTTGCTGACATGAAGACTCTTGACCGACTTCCCCGTACGCGCACACACGCACGTCCGGACACTCGTGACTGTCAGAGCACCACTGGAACACACTACCCCTCGACCGATACAGCAGAGGGCACTACATGCGACACCTCCCTCGTCTCACCGCAGGACTGCCGGCATCTCTTCGCCTGCAGTTCTCGGCCAGGCACCCAACTCACCCCCGTGGACCTTTGGCTCAAGCCGGCTGAGGTCGCGCCTTTTCTCCGTCTCCCAACTGCACCCAGTTTGAACTCCGGCGGGGACCCCTGATCCAACAAGGGCTACCAACAAACACCTCCCTCGGGCGATGCAAGACACCAATCGCACACCACTTGGACTTGCTCCACAGTCACATAAAAGCATCTATTAACCTCTCTTACTCACACACGCTCACCCAGGCCTGGCCTAGCTGGACGCAGTCAACACCAGCCCTGCCCGTCGCCAGTGGCCACTTCTGCCTGGGACAGCAACTCAGATTTCTGTGCAAAATAAAGCCCTCATTCTGGTGACTTCTACCTTTTACCTACAACTTGGGATTTG